GATACGGAGCCAGTTGCTCGTGACAACAACACGATTTTTACGTTAAAACTTGGTGACCAAACTTTCGTCCGCCTTACTCAACTGATAATCGTAGTAACTGTAAATTTACAAAAATAAAGCTTGTCATCATAAACAGAGACAGGTCAATTGTTGTTTTCTGTCTTTGTTTTACTTCTTAGTATAATTTCTGCCTTCGTAACAAATATAATGTCTTTATCGAAGCACTGTTGAGGTTGAGAATTTGTTTATTTCGCTACAGCTGTACATGTTTTGTCGGCGGGAATCTAGCAAAACTTGTTATTTCAGTATAGTTTTAACACTACTATTGCTAACAATGGTCTCTGTGAGCCATATTTACTGCAGAAAAATGGCTCGCTTCCACTGCGTTTGTCTGAGTCACAGGGGATGTTTTATTTGGGTCAAATTTGTCAAAATTCCGAAGCAAAATTTTGGAAGCCAAATTACCGTCATCAACCCGTGCTCTGTTCTCTGATAAAGCACGCTGTTTCAGCCAATCAGAGCGCACGTTATGCGGAAACTTTAATATAAAGAAAGACATATAGGACACCAAAGTGTATTTCATCAAAGGAGTCCTAATACAACATTTCTTTCTATCCTATCCCCCGCCCATACGAAACAAAATCATTTCACAAAGTTTCCACAGAGTCTCCTAATCATGTATTTTGGTATAAATGAAGGGGTAGAAGGTATAGAACGAAAAATGTTACCACCCATGAACAAATATGTTTGAAGTGACAGACGTATAACTTTTGCGCTGATAAAGAAAAAAAAACTGCTTCCACTTCAGTTGCATGCAGACAAGGTTGAGTAAGAACTGGCTTCATGTACCCTCCACAACCTGAATTATTTACCAACAGCTAGCAATGCGAACAAAGAAAAATATCTGTTAGTTTGTTGGCCATGGATTTAGCTCATCGCTATTTCAATGCAAATTATTTTGATTACGGGCCACTGCCAAATACTGGTTACGTTTCGAAAGAACATCTCGCAGACGCCTTGTCATGGGCACAGCCACAGGCACAAGCATAGGGTACATTTTTAGCCTTTCATAATCGAACAACTTTTCGATTTGCGAGTGAAAACATTGGGTGGTGCCGTAGGTATATCCTCACAGAAAGTCCAGCTAGTGCCTAATTGGCTATAAATTTAAATACCATGCTTTAAAGAGTAGTTTTTCTCACCAACAAGTAAGCCTATCACCAGAGTGTTTGCTCCAAATACCAAGATCTTAAAGACGACTGCGTCGATGTATGAGTCGACCAAACCAGGTACATTCTCTGAAGGAATTCTACTGACGCTGCCAATAGCGAGGTTTAAAAGGGTAACGGCAAGAGACGTAAACATCATCCTGTTTTCGAATGCGTCTTGCATGGGACGGATCCAAGAGAACAGCATTCCATACATTCCAGCGATGACTAGTGTTAAGCCAATGTAGGATCTGCTCTCTTCTCCCACCAGAATCAGGACAGAAGTAAGGATTACTTTACGAGACATTTCAACTAGTTCCCAATACCACGAACGACGTTTATAGTTTTCGAAAAGAAAACGCAATCCTGTAATTAATGCCACATGACGGTCATGTTCTCGAGGTGTCTGGGTAACGCTGTCCACTAAGTGCAGCCTATGGTTTCTCCAAAGGATAATAAATGAGGCGGTAGGCAGGGCCACGATATAGGCACTAGAGATGTACGCCAGGATAAGAGACTGGTGGTACTTTGGCCCTTGACACTGTATGCTGTAGTCTCCCTTCAGATACTTGAAACACTGTTCTTCGTTGTCGTCTCGGCAAATTTTTCGGCAGGCAAATGGTAGGACAGTAGCTGTCTTAGAACACGTGCTCAGGTAGGCAACGTACAAGAAGAAAAACAAATTTCTGTAGACAAGTTCCTTTGTTTCCGAGAGCCGTCTTGACTTTTCATTCTCGTCTAAGCTTCGGCTCCGTAAGATGATCACTTTGCGGACTTGGTAAACAATGCCACAAAAGCCAATGACTCCAGCATTTATTGCTACCAAGACAAACAGGCTCCCAAATGCATCTATTTGTAATCCACGGTAAAGGCATTGAAAGGGTGCTATCTGAAGCACATTTAGCTGCAGTATTCCTGAGTACTTGGCAATGACCTCCAAGGAATCAGGCCATTTTATGTACGAGAACGTTTCCAGTAAACCGTTTGTGACTTGGTAAAAGCCGATAACGATCTTAAGTTTGGAAAGAAATAGGTCGATTTGATTAAGTCCCTGCACCTTCTTAACTTTTCGTTTGCTCATCCACACCAAAACTACCAGGACTATCAATAAAATGACTGCAACCAAAGACAACTGTCCAGCCATCCACTTCTTGGATGGACACTGTGCACAGTTTTGTAATTGTTTGTAGTATCCGGAGCTGCATACTCCGCAAAGAGGTCCTTCGTACCCGTTTTTACAAGGGGAATCTAAACCACCTTTGCAGGCGTCTTCGAATGGACACTTATAAGGTGTTGGTATAGCATACGGGAATTGCACGCTAAAAGAATCCAGAGCTGGTGAAGACGCTAACATATTTTTAATAAAATTCCTGTAGCGATGTTTATGTGCCTCATTTCGCCATTCCCACCAATAACCAGATTTCAACGTGGCATAGTCATCTTTGCATTCCAATCCACCTTGTCCACATTTGTAGCATTTCTCAAACATGTGTAAGCGATAAAATCCCACCAAGCATTCACAAGCACGGTAACCAGCGAAGAAGTCAGTCTCTGTTCCTGTGGAAGAGTTAAAATGGGTATGTAATATAAGTAGGACATCTCATCCCATATAAGGTTGGTAACAGGTTTACGCTCTTTCGGAATAGTAGGTATTTGAAATACGGTTTAAATGCGCTTTGAGGTTATTCAGTGTGTTGAGTATGACGTCGCGAATCACCAATACTAGCCTCGAAGTATTCATCATTTGAAACGATTACATTTTAAGCATGTTAGCGGGTGCTATAGTCTACGAAAGAGTCCACGAAAGAAGTTGACAACCAATAGTACTCAATGGGGTCTTCGACATGATAGAGGGCTAAGTTATAGACAACTTTATTGGTATCTTGGCATCTTGCAATCGCTGCACATGTCACAGAGCATGTTTTGACGCTGAAACCGTTCACTAATAATCTGAACAATGAATTAGTTATCGACAACTGTTCAGTTTGTTTTCGTTTTAGAGGGAACTGTTACCGTTTCAATAAGTAATGGTAATAGGACTGAGTGGAGTCCAATTCGATCTGTTTTCATAAGAATAATAACAAAATCACGCACGCACGCACGCACGCACGCACGCACGCACGCTCGTAACATCAACTTTGAATGTGATTGGTTGATTTAAACTACAACTTTGAATGCAATTGGCTTATTGTACTGTCCGATAACAAATTGTCCAATAACAAACTGCCCAATAATAAACTGCCCAATAACAAACTGTTCAATAACAAACTGTCCAATAACAAACCGTCCGATAACAACTTGGCAAGTGAATTAGTGGAAAATAGGAGTTTTTTTTAAACCAATCACAATCGAGGAAATTGTAATTTTTATGATTAATTGTTTAACGGGTTTGCTATGGAACATTTCTTTTACACACTGACTTTTTAGTCTCGCGAGGACCTTAATGTAAAATATCTTTAGAACCATAACCGTCCTCTAATAACGTCTGAAGCCTGAAGTGTGTCTAGCATTTGCGCACTGCCGACTGGAGATTCCGGACCTGCAGAGCCTGATTACGTGATTAAGTGTGCCGCAATGTGCAAATGTCATACAGTGTGCCAGAAAGGGTTTGCACTTGATCTAATGGTGTTTAGAATATTTCAATATCAACAATTAAGATATCACGTTAATACATGTATCCATGGTCTCTCGGCAGCCGTTTTCTTTCAATTATTTCTTAATAAAAAGCCAGTGACACGAGAGCAGCAACGACGGAGCAGGCAAAAAAATACAATAATTGGGTTTTACTCTGCCCCCTTCACTACTGAATCAATCCGTCGTGGTTTTATTCGCTCTCCTCCTAAACGATCCTAGACTAATCATTATGTGGAAAGATCTATAGAAAATATTCATGCAATGAATGTCAGATTACACTACATACTATTAACTAAGGAAAGAACTGAAGCAGCGAAAGACGGAAAACAACATTTTGGCTTTATTTGGACATAAAATACAAGTTGAATTTTGTATTATATCTGGGAAATGAAAAAAAAAGGTTAATCAATTTCGTCAAAAGCAAATGGCCTAGGTACTGCTGGGTCAAGAAATGTGTCGATTACAGTTTGGTTGTTGTACGAGCACAGCCGGTATTTACATATCTCCTCGCTCAACCGTTTATGACCTGGCTTTTCAATAACCTCGTATTCGGCTGAAAAAGAAGTACAGTGAAACCTCGATTTAACGAAGTGCCAAGGGACTGGGCAAATTGGTTCATTGTATCGAAAAACCTCGATGTACCTAATTTGCGGGAAAACAATTTAAAAGACGTTCGTTGCATCGAGGTATAATTAATAATTGTCCTTTTTTAATAGTGTTACGTTCCTCTTCACAGCATTTCAGGATCTAAACGATTACTGTAAATAACATTTGCGCTTTAATGTCCATTTGAAGCTACAGTACACTGTTAAGATCTGTGCATGGCTAAGGCACTCGAATACTAAACAGGTCTTTAATTTTAACAATTAATCGTAACTGACTTGTCAAATATCACAACGAACAGGTTAATGAACAGCGTAACAAATGATCATGAAAACTTGAACAACAGAAAAATACTTTACTTTAGGCTACTGCAATTACTTATCAAGACGCTCAATCATGAAATTCGTCGAATGAAGATTGCCCCATGATTTGTCATTCGTTAAAATGCGTCCTTTTTTTTTCGAGAGGGAGCACAGAAACTCCCTTTCTTTTGCCCCTGTCTTCTCAAATGTCATAATGCACGAACAGCGTAACACAACTTACCGGTAAACAACAGAAAACCGCTGTAATGTTCTGCTAGAACTGTTAATCAAGGCGCTTAATTAAAAAAATATATATATTTCAATGAGGACTGCCTCTGTATTTTTGTGTCAAGTCTTGAAATATCGTCGTTACACCGGTATATATTACACGTTTGGGCTTCTAGATTGTTTTCGTTATAACTAAGATTTCGTTATATCGAGGTTGTGTTCCATACATTTTACTGCAACTTTGGCCAGGCTGTAGAATATCGTTCGTTATACGGAGAAATTCGTTACATAGATGTCCGTTGTATACTCCTTTGTCCTTTTTATCTGTCGTATGGAAGGACGAATGGTTCGACTCACCTCACTTTTCATGATACGTCACGGAAGCGTGACAATTTGCACGATAAGGCGCGATCGATGGGCAGCATTTCGCTGCAGAGCAAATGAAATCGGACGGCCAGCATTAACGCTATGTTGAAGTAAAGCAAGAAATATTAACTTGAAGAATAAATAACCCTCGAGCTGAGATAATAGTTTTCAAATCTCTCTGCGAAAGCGTGATTGTGCACATTATTACGTTATACCTAGTGGACAAGACTTGCAATCTTGTGGTTCAGTTCCAGGTGCTTCATCATATGCAACAAAGGAACCATTTGGACATTTCTTGCAGGTTTCGGCTACGTAACTTACATCGTCAGAGTAAAATCCCCCTAATTATGAAAAAAGAGACGAACGCATGTCAGCTCAAGTTCAAGAAAAGAGAACAACAACAGCTGTAGATAGATGGTTCAAAATCTCCAATGTAGTTTTACACTTCAAAATTATTTGCTTAGAGAATATCGCTCCATCCTTTTCACAGGTACACTTTCTCAGGGATGCATTAAATTCAAAAGAATTAATTCTGTTGTAACGTGATTTGCTAAAGAGCACGATTAACTCTTCAGTCGACTGAACTTTAGATCATCTAATGGTTATGATGGCTCTTGACACTGAAAGAGAGAACGAACGAGTATTACTTGTCAAAGTCGACCTGTGGTAAGCTGTTTTGGCTAAACTTCTTATTTGAATGGAACTCTTTGGCCAAGTTTTTCATTTGCTGAAAACTCAGGTGCAATTTGTTTGGTTTTTTGACTTCATCTTCCTACACTAATGCCAACACGATGACTTGACGACCGATTAAATGTGAAGACCTCCGTCGTTAACAATAAGTAGAAGAGATTATCCCCAGAAACCGAGAGTTAGTCAGCCATAATCTCCTTGCTCCTGTGGGCGTGATTTCCAACAAGCATTGGAATGTAAAAAACAACATAGACGATTCGAACAGCAGGCGCCAACTGCCTGCGTCCTAAGAGTGACAATATTTTTTTCGTTTGGTCCAAGCTTGATTAGCTTTGCAAGGAAAACAGTAGCTGATACACCCTCTTCTTTTATTGGAATAAAAAACTCTGCATTTCATTGGTTTTGATATTTACTTTTCTTGATGATGTTCTATCAAATAATTAATTTTGATTTCTTTTTCCTGCAAACGTAACCCCACGAAGGTTTGACATAATCTTTTAATAAAACATAAAAATGATAAGCAAACCACTTTAATAAACGTTTTAGCATAGTTTAACTTTACTTTTAGGTAAAGCGCTCGCAATGACATTTTAATTGTAACGTAACTGATGAGGTTAATTTCCTCCGAGGAGGGAGGGGGGGGGGNTTGGGTACTGCCAGAGAAATTGGATGGGGAAATGCGGCCCGCTTGCCAAGACCCGTCCCTTTTTTATGACCAAAATCTGCGATTTTCCCTACCCTATTTATTACCTGACAAAAAATTTGATACCTTATTTATGACCGTCGCCGCTGGCACAGTTGCCCTCAACATAATTTATTAAGGGCTTTTGTTGATGGCCTTATCGATAATGATGAAAAAGTAGGTTCTTGTAACAAACATAGCAAGTTCAAGACTAGAGTGCAAAAACTACTAGTATAACTTATTTATGGCCAAAATTGCCAAAATCGAAACCCTAATTATGACCAAAACCGCTGAAAACCCATACCCTTTGGGGCCGCAGNGGGGGGGTGAACAAGATTACCAATGGAATATTCAGATTCAGTCGAACCCCCATCAACCGACCACCCGCGGCAAAATGGACGTTGACCGGTTAATCAGTGTTGGCCTCTTAATAGAGGTTGGCGTGCCTTGAATAGTTTTCACCATCGGGATAATTTCTTAGTAAACACTGCGCCCTTTCAAGTCAGTAATGAAAAACCTGTGTTTGAATGTTTTTATCACTCGTCACTTTCTATTTCGGACTCTTATATACCATCGCCTTTTCCAAAACAAGCTAAAACAAAGTTACGTATATTAAATTTTGGGTGTCCATTTAAATAGGGATAAAGACAATAGACTTTGACTTTGTTAACTGGTCGCTTAATAAAAGATGGCCGCTTAATAGGTGGCCACGACGACTGCATCTCTTGTCATGTCATAGCTAGTGTTAGCTTCCAAGGCAACACTCTAGTCAACTCAGCATAAGCAAGAGCCAAGTCTGATCTATAATACTGAAATAGTTTTAAAATACAGTCAAGTAGAGGGCGACGGCATACAAAGCTGATTGGTTGTAACCCGGAGGTACTCCCTGTCGTGTCTTTTGTATGTGTGTCGACCGTAAATATTTAAAGAACGCCTGCTAGCACGTAAATTCGAATAATTGCCAAGTCAAGTGAACATTAATCGAATAGAAAATCAATAGAATTTGCCTGCATGCAACAAGTTTCGCGTGCACGTGATATTTTTCTTTTAATGAGTACTTTCAACTTCTGAGAGTTAGCATGAAAGTTAATTCGCGAAGTTCGCGAAGAAAGTTTCGTAAGAAAGTTCAGAGAATTTCGAAGCGAACGTAGATTGAGACGTGATGCGTAGAAATGCATATTAAGGTTTAGATAATTGTATGACGCTGTGAACTCTGAGGCAAAGATCAAGATTAAAACGTGGAGTTTTCACTCCCTTATATGGGCTATATAGGTATGTGCGGCCCCAAAGGGTAGGGTTTTTCAGCCGTTTTGTTCATAAATTGGGTATCGATTTCGGCCATTTTGGTTATAAATTGGGTATGGTTTTAGCACTCTAGTCTTGAATTGGGTATGTTTCTTAGAAGAAGCTACGTTTTCATCATCATCAATAAGACCGTCAACAAAAGCCCCTCATAATTCATGTTTAGGGCAACTGTGTCAGCCGCAACGGTCATAAATAGGCCATCGAATTTTTGGTCAGGTCTTAAATAGGGTAGCAAAAAACGCAGATTTTGGTCATAAATAGGGTAAAGTTAGGGAAGTGGGCCGAACACCCCCAGCCAAATTTTCTGGAAGTACTCCAGTAAGGCAACTGTGTATAAGGGTGTCTTAAGGTACTGTTATTATTTTGATGCTTATCTTGAATTACCTGGAGGGCATTGTATACATCCTTTAACACCTCTAGAAGATGAATTGGAGTACGTTCCCGGAGGACATGGTAGAAATTTTATGTCAGAAGAGTGATTGTAAGGTACTTGTTTGAATCCTGTGCCCAAAATGCCGTGCTTGAAGCTTTCGCCTACGTACCATTCGAATGACGGATCAAAAAAGATAGCTCCATCTTCGGAATCGAATGGATTTCTAGAAGAGAAATTTTTCATTTTGCAATGGGAATAAAAATAACCATTATTAGCTGTAGTTACTCTAATTTGGAGGAATGTTAGAAGGAAAACATACTTTTAGCAACGAAGTAATTTCCAGGCCATTTACAAGCCTGCTTAAGACAACATTAAAATACCCGATATAAGTCTTAGAGTTATATAACTTTGTGATGGGTTTTAGTGAGCCTACATCTTACTGGTGGAGCCTACATCCGACAGTAGAGTTATAAGCTTGCGACATAAAGACATCTTTAGATATAAGCTGGCAAAAAGCAGCTAGAAGGCTCTGATGAGCAGTTTACGTTACGAAACCACTCTAATCAAACCTTTTCAACCTGTGCTCTGCCAGTTCGCAGGACTGAAAGGGAGCCGATACGCTATATACCATAATGGAATCAAAGCTGTCTTTAAGATTCAATGTTTTGACCATCAGTATCTCAGAACGCAGCAATATATAGCCTTTTTGATCCCTTCGAAGATCTTCGAGCAATCAGTGCTGTTAGAGCATTGTATAAGGCCAAGAGATGTGACACTTTGTCCATATGGAAAAAGGAAGAATTGGTAGAATCCGACCTCAACGGTTTCCATCGGACAGTGAGAAAAGCAGCCAAGATGATCCACCGGGGGATTCAGATGAAGGAAGAAAGAAGAATGGATGCAGCAGTGGACATGGGACAAGATAAAAGAAAGAAAACAGATGGAAAATGTAAACCCAAAGAAAGCAGAGAGAGTGAACGACCCCTAAAATAAGTGGAAAGGATGGCCAAGAGAGAGGGATAAGAAAGGCTACATCAAAAACCTGGCTGAAAAAGCAGAAGAGGCTGCAGCACGGCAAGACATGAAGATGATCGCAAAAACGCTTACGGATGACGGAACAGAATATTAAATCCAGACGCCCTAAACCACTTGGCCACGCCGACTCCCTGTGGCCCCTGTTAGTGGGTCCCGGCACTAAACAAAGGACTCGCCCTCGAAATCCTGGTTTCATGGGAGAGAATGACACTTATTTGGTATAGATTTTTTGTATGAAGCTACTAACATGTATATCCTGCTGAAAAAGTGAGCGCTGGAATATTCCAGAGATCTAAGCGTTCGATTTCCAATTAACCTAAAAATAATGAAAAAATAAAAAAAACAATCAAATACATTAAAAGGAAGAATTCAAGGTACAGTTTGAATCAATCTTTTCGCAGTTAGCGTTGTACTTGTGTCTGATCACAGGTGTGGTATTAGCCGTGGTTTGAATTCACTTGCCCTGTTTACCTAGTTCATTACAAGGTTCCTTTGGGGAACGTGGGTATTTCACGTAGTGTTACTCCAGGAAAGTTTACCGAGGTAAACTGAACAGTATAGGCCAGTTTTTTTGTTTTGTTTTGTTTTTCATTATTTTATTTTATTTCTTTTATTGCCAGGGTTTTGCCTGCTGTAATAAGAGTTGTACGTACCTGGGGAATTCAAAGACGTAAATTTTCGGCTAAGTAGATCTCATATGGGAGTTTGATATACAAAAGTAAGCAGGAGACATTGGTGCTTTGCGACCTTGTCATTGTATCTTCTCTCATGATGAAATAATTCAAAACGCATAAGAAGATGGCAACACCGTTTCCAAAGGATGAGCTGTCAGCTCATATTCTTTTAAGTGTCACAGTTTAAATGATTTGAGAGAATGTCCACGAGTCAATTACAAATTACAATTTGTGGCACAGCTGGGTTATCGACCAAGCGTGAGGTCAAGATTGTGGGATATCGGCCACGTTCTATTTGTGTGCATGCTGTGGGTCAACAGGTAATCGATGTAATTGTCTACTGTCCACAAGTACGACTTCTCATTGGTAGTTGGGCAAATTAGACGTCCTCGTAACGAACCAAGGGTATTGCTACGGGCTCCTCATTATTGTTCTCAGTCAGCCCTGACCACATACATTTATCGAGATAAATTGCGCGCACTCACTAACCATAAAGTAATCTTTATTTACATAGTGAGGGAGCAAAGCAGAAACATTCACTGATGCGAAATGGTTTCTGTTGCAAAGCTCATTTATCCGAAAGATGCACTAACTACCACTCTGTTCAATGTAAATTGAAACCCTCGGTGGCTCTGCCGGGGAAAAATTTTATTAGAGAAATCATGATACCCTAGAGTGGAGAGTCAAATTAGAGATCCTTCTTATTACCCTCTAACCCGCGACCCGCTTAAGCTCAATCTCGTTCCCAGAGCCCACGTGTCTTTTGGTTGGCGCTGACCAAAAGACACGCGGGCTCTGGGAACGAGATTGCCGTGTGGTAAACCAAGGCACGCATGCGCCGTGAAACCGGAACTCCTAAAATCTTGGAGTCTGGAAATTGATTATTCCAGAGCTCCGTGTCTTGGCGCTGACCAAAAGACACGTGGGCTCTGGGAACGAGATTGGCTTGAGCTAAACATTACAAAAAAACAAAGAGAGGATATGTGTAGCTTGGGATACAAAGGTGGAAATGTTAATTTATGTGTTTATGGGTGACCTATGCGTCCATGTTCATAAAAACTATATACGTTACAGGATTGAATTTAGAACTTTACTGCTCGGTCTACTAAGCGACTCAAAGGAGAATCGTTTCAACTTCGTTCGTAGCATGAATCTGTAATAAGAAGAAAAGTAATTAAAGTATTACACGAATATCAAAAGGCTTTTTAAACCAACGCGTGATACTCAATTGGTTTAATTGCTTCTGTCCAAACACTGGAAGACGATTTTTTTTAAATTTATTTTTTCGACTGTATTTCCATTTTTTTTTGCCTCCCTGATTAAAACAAGTTCCCAAAGAATGCGGAGGCATGGTCGCGCATTGGGTTGGTGTAATCTCGAACACTCCATCTCATAAGCGAGTTGGCTGTTAGTTTAGTCAACGCAATCTCTCTAAAATTCTATATTCACGATTATCCCATGAATGGACCGTTTTCGATATATTAAAATTCAGCTTGGCATTGAGGCTTGCAGGACACAAACAACGGAAATTGAATGACCATGTTATTCATTTCTTTTGTTTGTTTCCTCTGAGCCTCACTATCAAGCTGGATTTTAATATGTTACCCCATTTACAGGTAATGGCATTTTCTTGTAGTATCGTTTTTCACAGTGTTCTTCTTACCCTGGCCTTCTTCTATGGTGTTTGCTGTTATTAGAAAGCCTACACGCAGCCTATAAATTTCTGCCTTAATTTAGCCAGACACGTTCGTGTTCCATTTAGGCCGTCAGTTGTACCTATTCTGTCTGCTGGTAAAACAGCGGTACAGTCTGCCAATTAAACTGGCGACACAATGTCAAATCCCAAGGAGCCATCAGCAGACTTGTGACGTTATAAGTAAAACTTACATGTCAATCGTTGTATGTAGAATTCTGATTGCATTTGGTTCCATTGCTGTTATAGGATTATCGGAAATCATCCTTGGTATGTAGGACAAAAGTAATATCATCAGCACAAGAAGCAACAGAAAGACGACCCCAATCTGTCAGCCAAATGTTGATAAGGATCGAGCTATTCGACAAGATTACTTCCGCACTTACAGGGTGGCACGAAATTTCTTGCGGGCTCTAACTTTTGCAATTTGCGAGTTTTCACACGATCCGTAAAAAAAAGTTCCAGAAAAAAGTTCTCCCAAAAATGTTTTCCCAAAAACTGTATTCCACATGCAAAATTATACATACAAACATCACATGTACAATTTCGTTGATGCCATTTATTTTAAATGCGTTTAAATTCAAAACGCCTCTTCCATTAAGAAGGAAAACGATGAAATTGCCCTTGGTACACTACAGGTGTAGCTGCTAAAATGTTTACAGAAGAGGATCACCTGAAGGAACTATCGACAGCACTAACGCAAGATGTAGTTGTGATTAAGAGACACTGATTACAGTGCTTTACATCTCTGCCTCATGACTTCCTGAAAACGGAAATAATTAATACCCAGAAGAAACAGTCTTCAACAATTGCAAAAATTAGTTCCCGCAAAATATAAAAAAATTGCCGATCTGCAAAATTAAGTTCCCGCAAAAAATCCGTGTCACACTTCTTGTTCGCTCGAGGACTCTCATTACTATGAACCGCGTGCAGTCAAATTGTGTCTACTATCACTCAACTAAGCTTCAGGCGACAGTGCGAAAACTATCGATGGACACATACGTTTGGTATTTTTGTGCAGCTTGACTGCACTACTCAAATCGAAGAACTTACAGATATCTCAGTTGGCTAAATTTGGTAAAAGTGCCGCTTGATATCACAGTCAGCCTGTTATTATGCAGAAATCTAACAATAATGTGATAGAAGAAGTGTTTTAATCCATGTAGTATTAAGTAAATGAGTGCATAAGTAATTGAGTAACTCAGTCACTTGAAATAAATGAGTCTGTTTTTCAGTCCGTCAGCCAATCAGCCCATCAGCCCGTCAGCCGGCAAGTCCACCAGCCTGCCAGTCCGCCAGTCCGACAGTCAGTCAATCCGTCCGTCCGTCCGCCCGCCCGTCAGTCCGTCCGTCCGTCAGTCCGTCCGTCCGTCCGTCAGTCCGTCAGTCCGTCCGTCCGTCCGTCCGTCAGTCCGTCCGTCCGTCCGTCAGTCAGTCAGTCCGTCCGTCAGTCCGTCAGTCCGTCAGTCCGTCCGTCCGTCAGTCCGTCCGTCAGTCCGTCAGTCAGTCCGTCCGTCAGTCCGTCAGTCCGTCAGTCCGTCAGTCCGTCAGTCCGTCAGTCCGTCAGTCCGTCCGTCCGTCAGTCCGTCAAGAAGAAAGATAAAAAGGTAAGAAGGTAAGAAGGCAAGAAGGCAGTTAGGTAAATGGGTAGCTAGATGGCTTTCTAAGGCAGGTTACTAAGTGAAAAAAGAACATAAAACAACAACAAACAGGAAAACTATGGCAGGATGGCCCATTTAGCTAAACCCATAGCTATAGGGCCCACTAATCTGCCAATGGACACAAAACAAATTAAAGCAAACAAAACCAAGAGTCTCTTGACAAAACATAAAGCATAACACGAGGAAAAGAAAACTAGCTGAAATTCGAAATAAAACATTGAAATTTCGACATTTTAAAATTTAAATCTGTTAGTAATCAGCTGTTGGCTAATGACCCAGCCGGTAGCCAAAAACGTGTTTTTAAGAACTTACAGGTGTCGTAACGAGGTCAAAGAAGCGAATACATCCTTTGGCAGAGATTGGATTTTGTTGAAGGAAAGATCTCTGCGGAGCAAAACGTTCATATAAGTAATTGGCGCATTTATGGACCGAGACGGAATCGAGGTCCATAAATAGATAGAGAAAGAACACGGTTTTCTCGCGGGACACAGCAGGTAATCCCGCGCGGGCAAGAAAGCGCCATCTTGACCACTTGGGTAGTCAATCACAGCACAGAGTTTGGTTCGTCTTGCCCACTCATGGAAATAGCCGTATAACAAATGTTCTTTTAGCTAGATTCGTTGACCGTTAAAAAAAAAAAAATGTTTGGGGATTGCAAAACAACAGTAATAGCTACTAAGTTACTACATCAAACGTACAAAATACGCAAAATCCGAAGACCGGAAAATACATCCACGGATAAGTTCTGAATATTGTTGGAATGCACAAATCTGCCAAAATAGAAGAAAACAAATAAATAAAAATAAAATAATAATAATAATAATAACAATATTTAGCATATAAAGAAGTCTCGAGTGTGCTCTGTTCTGACCACGAAAGAAGTGTAGGGGGAAACGCGAGACTACGTAGTGGAGTGTTTCTTCACTTCTTGAGTGCTCTCCCGCTTCCCAAGTGCTTTTCAACAGAACAGAGCACAGTTGACGCTTCTTTATTAGTTTTATAAAGAACCCATTAATTTTCATTCAGCTAATATTTTCAATCAAATTTTATTTTCCAAACGACGAAAAGCGACGTCAGCGTGAATATGTTCTCTGATAAAGCACGCTAAAATAAGCCAATCACAATCCTTGTTAGATTTTCTCATATAATTTGATTGGCTAACGAGACAACGGCTATCAATCACAACCTGGTCTTCCGCTAGACTCTTCGAGTGGCTTTGGAGAAAAGTACGATCGCTTGAAAGTTCGCTTTTTAGTTTGATTTTAACTGAAGGATGTCAAAATTTATTGTCCAGAGGAATCCGGCAGCATTATGGCTCATGAACACGTGCCCTTTTCTATTGAAAATTACGAGAAAAGGAGCTCAAAGCTTGCGGATGAAAATACGAAATGCTGAGATGTATTTGAAAGGAGCTACAGTTATTTACGTTTTGCAGCAAGATTCCCAAACTAGTGTCAAAGTTAGAAAGACTAAACTGCTCACGCTGGTTCTACTCTGATTACAGGAGAGAATATCACAGCAAGCTTTCAACTGATCACTCGTCGGGTGAACGTTGTAAATATTGAGTTTCACTTCGCTGAGATCACCGGAGATCGCTCGTTAGCGAACGAACGTTACTACATTCCATGTAAGTGTTGTTTGAGGATTTTTACAAAAATAAAGCTTCTCATCATAAACACAGACAGCGTGCGTGGTGTTTTTTGTCGTTTTACTTCTAATGTATAATTGTTTCTTTCATAACAAAGATAATGTCTTTTATCGAAGCATTTGCTAGGTTGAGAATTTATTTATTTTGCTATGTGATTAAGCTTACCGTTTTGTCGGACTCTAGCAAAACTTCTTTTTTTAGTACAGTTTCAACACTTCTGTTGCTCTGTTATTAACAATGGCCTGAAGGTAGCTATGTTTACCGCAGACAAATAGCTCGTTTCTATTGCGTTTGCCTGAGTGACAGGAAACGTTTGATATGGGTCAAATTTGTCAAAATTCCGAAGCAAAATTTGAAATTCAGCTTACCGTGCATCTGCTCTCTGATAAAGCACTCTGTTTCAGTCAATCAGAGCGCGCGTTATATGGAATTTTGTTGAATAGTATCCTTTAAACAGAACGGCAGGTAGAAAGTATAAAGCTGTCATAAGTAAACCTTGCCGTTTAAAAAAAGCAAACCAGAATAAGCTGTGTTACAGTAGCCCAGCTGGACCTGGGTGCGACTTTATTAGCCATGAAATTAGTATGCATCTGGTACATGTAGTATTCAACCGTCTTTGCTATTAACGACCCTTCTAACAATGGGACACTCAATAAACCTAAATTGCTTTTGGCTTTTATTTTCAACTAACTTTTGAGGATCCCAGGGCCTGCCTAGGATATAATAAATAAATAAATAAATAAATAAATAAATATATAAACACGTTAGGACAGCTTTCAATTGAGTGTCCTAAAACCAAAACAAATGTAATCAACTTAGCCAATCACAAAAGACAGATAATTCAATAAACCAATCAAGTAAATACATATAACTGACATCAACCATCAACCGGGAAAATGTGTGTGAACGAGTAACAATTGGGGCTAAATGGCTTTGGTTTTTCTTCTGATTGGATGAAAAAGCTGCGTGAGTGTTTTAAGCCAATCGCGAAGTGTTGTAACGACACTCGACACTCTACTCAACGGAGGAGGCAGTGTGGCCGAGTGGTAAGTGTGTCGGACTCGCAGTCCAGCGGTCCCGGGTTCGAGTCCCGCTCTTACCACTACCTGGATTTGTTTCTCGGTAGCGCCGAGTTCAAATCCGGCCAGTTGGGATTCTTAAGAGTGCCTGCCAGTAAAAATCAGACAAATTCTTAATTTCGCGGCAAGGGTCGAAAATTCGATTTCGCTCATTTTCCTATGGTAGATAGCCTAGGGCATGACAAAAACTACTGGATAGTTTTTTGGCAAAATATCCTTTTATTTCAAAGGAATATGCAAATTACCAAATTCCGTTAAAATCGTCATTTNGCTCATTTTCCTATGGTAGATAGGCTAGGGCATGACAAAAAAAAAAAAATTTAGCTATTAACCTCACAAGGTTCCCTATTTTCCATATATGCTCCATTCGCCACTGGACGTTTCTGGAGATTCGAACAGGAATTTCTGGTCGAATTGAAAAAGCTTATCCCGGACTGCAACACAGCCCGTATTTTCGTGAGAGTCAATTTGTCTGGAGAACGACCCTGTTCGAACTCAGAAGCGATTATGCTCCCTTCTAGCAATTTTCACTTCTATTATGTCCTACATTTTTGGTAACAAGATTGCTCTGGTGTATCTCGACATAACTAATTAGCTATGTCAAGAGACATCAAAGAGATCTTGTTTTGGGGGTAACGTAACCGCGATGGTCGACAAGCATCCCATCCAGGGGAGAGTAGAAATACTCTTAGTCGCTTCAATTTACTACGGGAACCGAGTTAAGCTCGGCCTGATGGACGACTTGGCTTGCATACAGACATACCTAAATTAATATTTTGGTTAATCAAATTGTAATGTATGAGTCAATAAAGTACATTTTAATTGTTAATATCATAAACGCTTGTCAGTCCTAAATATCCTATGGGTTAGAGCTTCTCAATTCACAATTGGCTCCTGGCATCATAATTTTTTTCGCACTATTTCCTTTCATGAATTAAGCTCCGTGCTGTACTCATTACCAATGACTGATGGTCTTGTTCGATAAGCAAATTCAAAACACACGTGCAATGACATTTCAATATTCTTATACATATAGGTGGTTTCTATCCCAGCATTGCTTGATTGTAATTTTCTCTACGTCATAACATGTACATGTTACGTGAAAATAAACCGCAGAAATATTATATATCATTGAAGCACGCAGTTTCTATAGAAATGGCTCCGTCTCCAAAATAAGCTGAAGCCCTTCGTCAGGCACACGCGCTTCTTTAAATTGCGAGAGTAAAATTAGGGACCGTTCATTTTTTATAAGGTAGGGGGGGCTGGTGGGATTTGGAGGGGGGCCATGCGGAAAAAAATGGCTTTCGAGGGGGGGCCATCCCAAAAAAATAAGGGAAAAAGGGGGGGTCACGTGAAATATTTTAGTAAAACTTTAAAATGGCATAATG